GGTGGTCAGAGTCAGGTGGTGGTCAGAGTCAGGTGGTGGTCAGAGTCGTGTGGTCAGAGTCAGGTGGTGGTCAGAGTCAGGTGGTGGTCAGAGTCAGGTGGTGGTCAGAGTCGTGTGGTCAGAGTCAGGTGGTGGTCAGAGTCGTGTGGTCAGAGTCAGGTGGTGATCAGAGTCATGTGATCATAGACGGAGCATCAGAGAAATGAATGATTCCTGCAGGAACAGAAGAAGCTGAAACTCCACCAGCTTCAGGGTCACATGATCACCTTGTTACAACTTCAGGAAGTTACAGCTCATTTAAAGAAACATATTTTGTTTGTTTCTTTTATGCTCAACAGATCTTGAGCTTCATTTTATTTAGTTATTTTGGGAAACTTCACCTGCACTTTAGTTTTCGTGGTGGATTTATTGATCTGTATTTTGTGCAGACTTTTTCAATCTCAATAAACAGAAGGATCATTTTTATTTTTATTCTTGGAGACTGAATACTTTACTAAATAAGGTAATTTCAGTAAAATTAACCCTTGTTTTTTTATTTTATTTTATATAATACTGCAAAGCAACATGTTACTTTTGTCAAATAAATAACTTTGATTTCTGTTTGTTTTTTTAAATCTCTAAATTTGTCGTTATCGTCGGAATGCTGTGAAATATCACGATATAATATTTGAGCCATATCGCCCAGCCCTAATCGTAACCAGTAATGCCAAAGTACAGCTATAATATTGCTGCAATATTGGCCAGTCGTCACACTTGATCAGTATTTTCTTTAACGTCTGGTGTCCAGAGAGGAAAGACATTCATTTGGACTAATTATAAAAATGTCAATATAGTGTATTTATTTCCAAATGAGCCGGTTCAACATGGGTTGAATCCCATTTTCCAGTGATTCCCTCGTCCCAGTACATTTCAAGTGCCTCCGCGGCTTTTGATTTGAAATTCTGTGGAGTTCTGTGAAGATGCTCCTTCATGAAAGACGGCATCTCACAGGACTTCAGCTGTTTGAGGCAAGTTAGAGAAACAAAGGTCTGAGAAACTGTGCAAGTTCTCACTTGGGATCCAGCTTTGATTGAGCTTGTGGCCAGAACTGAGCCAAACCTTACCGGGAGTTCACGCAGCACCAACTAAAAGGCTACTGGCACTCGAGATGCATGAGAATTCAACTAGTAAGTCCGAGTACTTCAAAAGAAGGTTTGCCACACCGATTTTATGAGCCTCTTCAGAATTCCAACAACGGAGCGAGACTTTGAGAACCCTTGCGAACAGTTCGAGACGTTTTGGAACTTCCCTCGTGAACGCCATTTACAATTTGTTCCTTTATTTGATGCATGCTCCTAAAATAATGACCATTGTCAGGGCCAACATTTCTCCCTCTGTCTGCATCACATAGATTTGGATTACCCCCTAACCCTAACCCTAACAAGATGAAGTGACATTTCTGACTCAATGTAGTGCAAACAACCAAATTAGGGATGCACAATATTGGATTTTTGGCCGATATGTTAAAACTTATTTGGCCGATGACGATACAGATATTTTTTTTTGCCTCCTAGACCAGAGACTACGTAGTTTTCTCTGCTGTGGAATTAAAATACTACATTATTCTGCATGGTCTTTGTCAGTTTGACTGCTACCAAATGCTGAAGACAAAAAGGGGCCTGAAAATGATGTCACACTATATGTATTAATATTAAAAGCAGTGCCTTTTATACTGGTGAATTATTTTGATGGAATGGCCGATGTTCAATATTTAACTTTATTGCTAATATCGGCCGATAATATCGTGCATCCCTAATCTGAATCACTCCCAACTCTGACTCATAATTCTTTGTTTTATTAACCAAATGTAATATCTTGAAAGACAAAGCTTAATTAAACAACAAAGTCCATGCTCAATAATCCAGGTACACAATCCAGCATGTTTCATTCAGCTCATCTGGACAGTTTCTTTTCAGTTTGTTTTGGATCCACCTACTGCGCAGCATTTATTCATCCATATATTTAATAGTAGTAATCATTTTTTTTTTACCAATTTTCTTTCAGTCTTCAGGTTTTGTTAATTTTCGTGGCAGTAGCCGTTTCATAAACGTTTTTCTTGGCATGTCCAACAGACACCACGTTGATCGTTGCTCTTAAAGACGTAACGCTGGCCTCGCTCGTTTCGGGAACAAACCGCTGCGATGTAACGTGACGCAACCTGCGTAGAGAAGCGCTGACCTCGGATCACGGGCTCGGCTCATTAAAGCCGAGCAGATAGACCGCCGATGCTCGATTAGCAGCTTTTGTCTGACAGCTATGATTAAATACTTGTCCACGGCCGCTCGACAGAAACATCACATCATCAAAACAAAGTGCGGCGCTCCGGCAGCTCGACGCTTATTTGCTAAATCAACGCTTCTTTCACACGGTTTCTCAGGCGAAAGCCCCCACCCACCGTTCCCCTGGATCAAACTTTCTCCATTACGTGCAACTCTGCACATCTCCTGGCCAAGCCCTTTCTTCCCCCCACCCTCACACGTTTACACGCAGGTGTATCTGTTCCAGGCGTTTCAGCCAGTCAGCACCGAACTCCATGACCGGAGGGCGGTGTTATTCCCACAGCAGTCTCGTTTCGTCTGCACTCACACGACGCGCTGTATTACCGCCATCAATCATGTCGAGGAAATTACAATTTCCACACGTCAGCTACAGAGAGCTGTGGAGCGCTTTAATTGAATACTCCTGATATCCCCCCCCCTTTGCTTCCGTTATTGGTCTCGCGGTCTAAACTCCTTCTGCGGCAAACTAACCTAGAGGGGCTTAATAATGCAATGAAATAAAGAAAGGGGGGTTAAAAGAAACGCATTAGCACCTTGATTCTCCATCAGACTGCCATGATTGTCACATGTGAACATTTCCCATTGTTCACCTTTTCACGTTACCGTCTCTGCTGTCAAATATTAAGGACTAACAAAGGACGTTACCAATCCGAGGGCTGTCCGAGAACCTACATCTGCCGTTGCATTGTACGCTTGGCTGTCGGTTCCGTAGGAGCCTCAGTACTCGCCGTACTTTTGTTTGTTTTAGACTGACAGCGTACTCATTATACATTCGCAAGACTATCATTTTCCCGCTGTTTTTCCTTTATCTTGAGGTAAATGGGTGTCAGGAAAGAGATGAGGCGGCGCACAACAGCTGCACATCAACCCGGCGGCTTCCATGCGATGCCGAGGGTGGCGTTGGGCGGCAAACATCGGCGCCTGAAGAAAGGATGAAAAAATTAAAATCCATGGCTTTGACGAGCTCGCACAAACTCGCTGTCACTTGCAAAGCATCGGCGCCGGGCTTATTTTGTTGCTCCCCCCACCTCCAAATTAGTCAGTCACGTCTCTCATTTGCATTTTAGATTCTCGCGTCCGTTCCGAATGACTTCAAATAAAGGAAGATGCCGCATCTCATTATCCGGCTTCACAGCTGTTGCGGGGATCAAACCGGTGACCTTTTCCGGTTATGAGCTGCTCTCCCACCACTAGCTCGTTCTTCTTCTCTAATTCATTCACTGGTTCTCCGCGCACACACTCGCAGTGACTCTCTGATGATAACTTTCCAGACTCGTGTTTAATCCACTTACAGTGCATGCGGGGACCCCCGCCTCCCCTCAGCTTTCCTTTCAGCCTTTTGTAGAAACGCCTCAAAAGCAAATCAGATACAGCTCGGATTTGTGAATGTGTCGACAAAAAAAGCTCGACTGAGTCGAACTGAGGCCATCTTCAATGGATTTCACCCGGAGATCTTTCAGTCTTCAGGTTGCAACGCCGTCAATTTTGATTTGGGAACTTTAGCAGTTGGGAGGATCATTCTGTTGGCTCTGACGGAATTAAATAAATCTGTGGCATTGTTTAATTTTAGGCTCAGATTCATGTTTTATTCAGGTGGTTTAATAAAAACAAGCTAATCTAGAAGATTAATTGCCATAGCGATTTGAAATTCATGGACGCTGGAGCATCATCACTGGCACGGAAACGGGCATCGCGATAAACCAGAAGAGTTTATTAAGTGTCTTGCTGTGGCTTCACGCAATCGTCTAATTAACCCAGGACCCGAGGCAAGATCATGCACTTATTTTAAATTAGGAGCTCGTGTCTGTCTAGAAGAGACGGAGGTCACCTTTAGCGTTGGCATGCTTGTAAAATGTTACCGCGATTCTTTATGGTGCTGGTGTTGGGTTTCTCTAAATGGTCAAATTGTGGCACTTTGGCTAAAATCAAACAGCGATTTGAATGTTTTCCTTCCCCGGACAGGACGGTTTCCTCCCCCCACCTTTTGACAATGAAGAACGAGGCACAAAGGACCAAGCTGAGAAGGAAGGTCGTTGCGACAAGGTGGACAAACCCGAGAAAGCGCCGAGGAAAATGCTGTCAAGAGGTGAGAAGTTCTTTAAAACCAACAGAAAATGACGTATTTTAAGTTTTTGTGGTAAAACCAACCCAAGACGTTGATTTGTTTGTGTATTTTTTTTTATTGTAGACTAGCAACAAGTCTCTAAAGGCCCATTTTTCCTTCCCTGTGTATTTCATGCCACTCTGACATCATTTCATAAGAAATGTCCGAGCTACAGAAGTGGCCGTGCTGAACTGGACTGACGCAGTTGGAGATGTACATCCAAGAATTTCAGTGTTTCCATGCCATTATACAAGCGGGGCGCCCCGTCAACAGGACTGAGCGCCTCGTCTACCGATTCTAGAAAAGTTCAATCTGGTCCTCTGGACATTCAAAATGTCCAGAGGACCAGATTGAACTTTTTTTAGATTTTTCTACCTGGATTATTGAGCAGCATCAGGATACTCGTCTACCGAACTCCACCCCCCTTCGACAACTGTCGGTATCGATGTAGCGTGGGGCGCAATGCAAACGTGCTAGCAAAAATGCTACTGACGTACTGCTCCGCCCCCACCCCCATCAACAATTACCACCAGCTACATAGCACTAAGCTAGTGGGCGGGCAACATACAGGTGACTTCGTCCTGTCTCTCTCCCCACAATCATCAATTAAAAACGGGCATCGATGTAGCGCTATGCTAGCAGGCGGGCAACACAGAAGTGACTCCGTCCTTTCCATCTTTTTGCCGATAAAAACCGGCAACAACATGGCGTAAGCTAGCAGTCAGACAACACAGCTGTGACTCCATCCCGTCTCCCCCTCACCCCAATTAATATAAAAAAAAGACTTGTGCCCCGTTCATTGGTTCATAAGATATTTTGCTAACAAATAAAATAGGCAACTTATCAGTGTTTGATGGGACAATAAAAATGTTGTTCTATCTCTCATGTCATGACTGAGGACTCTAAGAGTTTTAAACTCACTTGATGGGACGTCAGAAAATCATTTTGACCATCGCCATCAGAAGAGATGAAACGTACCTGTTAACGCCTCGGCTTTTACGTCCAGAACACCTGAGACCTCATTTATAAACATGGCTCAGTCAGAAAAAAACTCATCAAGAAAGATCCACATGCTCTTTCTCTGTGAAAATAGTAGTATTTATATAGAGAAAATGAGTAAATCATAAAACCGTGTGTTGAAATCTTTGGTATCTTCACGTCAGTGGTGACACCGAAAGTTAAGTATGAAATGGAGCCAATTGTCTTAATGATACTAATCACACAATCTGTGTCACTCAGGCAAATTACTGCCTTCTAATAATTCTATCCTTTGCTTGGTCACTGGGGACATCCAGTCCTAAACATTTCTTTTTAGCTCGGCGTCCCCCCCACTTTGTCCAAAAGCACTTTTCCATTTCAGAATATCTCATTATGGGCTGATAATTGGCGCGATTCAGTTAATTGCAAAAAGCTCAAGGTGCAAAGCAATTATCCGGATTCCCACCGGCGAATAAAGGTGTCTGCTTCTCTCTCTGTGGAGCAACGCCACTGAAGACGCCTCCAGTTATAGAAGGCGGACGCCCACGGACGGGAACAAGCCTTGCTGTCCCTCGACTCTCACCGATGGTTCCGTTAATGTGGGTGAACAAGAACCTGTTTCTTGATCGCCAGCTTTGTTTGGTAAATGGTGGATAGAAGCCGTGCTGGCTTCACTAATGAACCACTAATACCATCGACTCGAAGAGAAAGGAGAGATTACGAAGATATTTTTTAATGGCCATAGTTTAGAAAAATGGTTTTATTTTGAACTGGATTGATAAACTAATGGCTAGTCTGAGCAGAGCCTAGACTAAAGCAGATTAAAGTCAGTTTTTTATTCTAGTTATCTTAAAATTGCCACGGCAGTCCATGCAAACACTGTTTCCTAGACCTTAACATCGCCATCAGTGTTGTGTATAAACCGCTTTTTGTTTTGTTTTTTTAATTCACGTTTATTTAGTTGGCCCCCTCCCGATTGAAATGTCCTTCACCCACTTCGCTGTCGACCACTGGTGGCACACTGACGTAGCGCTAAGCTATTGGCACACAATACAGACGTGCTAGCTAAGATGCTACAGATGTGGCGCTCCACTTCTCTTACATCCTACCCCCCGGTTGACAACTGCCATCACTAACCCCCCGTTGATAAAATGACCCTAAAATAAAAACAAATTGAGCGCCCTGCCAAGGCAAGTGAACTGGGGAAACGCTGATGGTGTATAGTCAATTTTTTATTGTCGTTCTTTTGGCGACGCCCAATAATGGACGACATCAAGGTCATAGTACGTCTTGTGCTTGGTCTATGGCAAATTACATAAGGGTTAAAAGTAAGCAAGAGAAAGCTTACAAGACGTAACAATACAAACATTTTGGTTAATGGGGGAGAAAATGGTGGTTTTGAAGCGGTCACGACTCGTACAGTGCCACATCTCCCTGGCTTATCAATGGCCTGTAGCGTGGCGATGCGGAGTCACCGACTCGGCTCGTCTTGCTTGGAACCTTGACCATGTAGGTCCTAAAAACCAACCTGGAAGCGAGAAGGATGACTCAATGGAAAGTCTTTGAACCAGCGTTGGGCCAAATGAGAAAGACCGAGTTGGTCCCATATTGTTACCAATATATTTTACAAATGTATCCTTAAAATGTTGAGTTATAACAGCTTAAGGCAATGCTTGCTAACTTTAAAACATAAATAAACCATGGATTGAAAAGCTGTTTGGTTTGTGTTTCCTCCTGTTTAGCGTTTTTATTATTTTTAGCAGGTATCTCTTTTGAGATTAGAGTAGCTTTAATTTGGCAAAATCTGCTTCAGAAGTGGGTTCATTCAGACGAGCGGTTTTACCTCATCAGTCTGGTCGAAGTGAACCCAAATCCAAAGCAGTTTCTCTTTAAAATGTCTCAGTAGTTTTTGTGAACACTATTTTTAAGGGTCATTCCGTGACAAATCACCCATCGGGTTTAACGCAACCACTTAAGATTTTGATTAAACTTGTCATATTTTTTGATTGTGATCCTACAGCGCAGAATCTTAAATCTTGGGTCAATCGGACCAGTGGTTCCAGAGATATGACCACCCTAGTTGGCAAAAATGGGTGTGGCCGTCTTTCTTCAACCGCAGTTATCTCAGGAACTACTTTGTCAATTTTCGCAAAGCTGGTGTCATTAGAAAGGTTATTTGGTACATATTCAAAATCTGCCCTTTTCTTATTTGAGTGTTATGGTCCGCTGACCTTTTGACTTTTTTATGACCTTGAAATTGACCATGTTACCTTGAGATGTCCATTCCTGAAATTAAGTCCTTGAAGAACCTTCTCAACGTGAGCGTCAAGAGTGCTACCTTTGTAGCTTTTTAGCTAGCGCGTCTATATTGAGCGCCACTAGCTTAGCGCTACGTCAGTGACGGCAGTTGTCAAGGCGGTGGTTGTGGTGGTTAGGGTTAGGGTTTGGATCAAACATAAATCGAGCGGCTGAGTGGTTAGAGCAGTCGTCCGCCAATGCAAGAGTTGGGGGTTCGAATCCACCAGCAGCACATGCCAGAGTGTCCCTGGGCAAGACGCTGAACCCCTCATAGCCTCTGATGTGTCCCATCAATGTGATAAAAGCACTGATTAATCTTTGTAGAGATCTAGTAGAATGGGTAAATGAGGCACAGATTGTTGTGAAGATGGCCTCCACTTATTTAGCACTTTTGTTTTACCATTCTGGTTGTAGATGAACCTGACACCCAAACTGTATTTTTATTCTATGGGGTGGGTGATTTAGCACAGTATGACCAGTAAACCTTTAAACCACCCTTAGTTGTACATAACATTATTGTTACAGTAAAATTATAGACTTTGAAATAAAATCTTTCAGACTGGAGTTATTCTAAGATTATTAGGATCTATGCTGGTCTTGGCCGCGCTCAGACCAGCCATGTTCTTGTCATTCCACTCGGAATTGAACCATTTCTGCAAACGGAGGTCGGTCACATCATTCTATTATATTTGTTCATAATGTTCAGAACCGCCCTTTGAAAGAGCCACGATGTTTGTCTAAACATGATCTTAACTAGATCTGTAGCGTTCTAGTTTATCAACGACATTTGGTTTCTTTGGTTAGATTCCAGTCAGGACTACACCGATTCGACGGGCATAGACCTCCATGAGTTCCTGGTCAACACGCTGAAGGGCAATCCCAGGTAAGCTCGGCGTCAACACGAGCTTGTGCCGTGAACTATGAGCTATTAGAGCTGCATCTCGTGTCTAACGGTCTGCTCACAGAAGCATTTCAAATGTTAATTATTCGCAGCGAAATCAATTTAATCCAATCGAACTGCTGAGATGAGTGAACTCCCCGGGCGATAATCTAATGTTGGGGAACAGTCCCTTTTTTTTTACTTTAAACAAATCCTCTTGAAAGCCATAAATCTAAGTCAAGTCCAAAACAAAGGATTTTTTAAAGTATTTTCTGTGCTGCGATGTTCAGTTTTAATCAAATCCAAATTTAGAAAGTGGTTTTTGGCACAAGATTCAGAAACTACAGCTTTACGTGTTGAGATGAAGTAGTGTTCAATAGACATGCTGAGTTTGTCACATAAAGCAAAATCTAATGTAGTGACTTTAAAACATCAAATTTCCACCCTTAAGTGGGTAAGAGATTAAATATTTGTTCAAGGAATTAGCAAGACGGTGCTTTGATGACTAGTTGTGAATGAAGCTCTCGTTTGTACAATAATGATCCTAGTCTCACTGAGTCACGAGGACTCTTTTTCAAGAGAGACCTGTTTCACACGAACCACAGATGAGGTACCGACAATAAACAGCCTATCACATAAATAAAAGTAGTGTTATAAAACAAAGTAAATCAAGCTACATTGTAAAAACAAGGTCAAATGCTTAAACAGGAACGTCTGCTTTGATATTTTTGCGTTGAACTTAATTGTTTAAAATCCCTTAGAGAGGTCAAAGTTGACGACTTCAGATCTTTTGCAAGGTGTTCAAGGAAACGAGAGCTTTTTGACCAAATTCAGTCCTCACTGAGGGGGCGCTGCAGGTAATGATGTCCTGAGAGCGCACGCTGAAGCTGCACTGACAATGTGACATGTGGGAGGAGATGTATGAAGGCAGCAGACCAGGAAGTGATTTAAAAATAAAAATGTACCAGTGGGAGAGTCTGTGGTTAGTGATGACCAGTTAACCAGTGAATACTGGGTGCAGTGGTGGGTACGGTAGTTACAGCCAGTTATGAATCTTAGTGCACCGCGATAGACAGCATCCAACATCTGCAGCATCCAACATCTGCAGCATCCAACATCTGCAGGGTTCTTGTAGGAGCGTTCATGTAAATAATGTCACCGTAATCAATGGAGGGAAGGAAAGTCACAGATACAAGGTGTTTCCTAACATTCAGGGTTAGACAGGATCTGTTTCTGAAAAATAAACCCAATTTTAATTTTGATTTCTTTATTAAGTTTTCAACATGCAGTTTCAAAGAGATGTGCATCGACTAAGAGGAAGGACTGCTGGTACCAACTTTCTGTTTGAAAACAACATCCCTTTGGTTTTATCAGCATTTAGCACCAATTTGAGACGGAACAAATCTGACTGGATGATGTCGAATGCAGACTATAAAAGCTGGTAAACCTTAGCAACTGATGTATCTCGACAGTAAACAACTGTATCATCGGCATAGAGACGCAAGAATGCATCAGGAATGAGCTGACCTACATTATATAGATTGTAAAGAGAGTGGGTCCTAATACTGAGCCTTGTGGTACACCATTGTTGACTGTTAAATAAGTAGAAGAAGAATCGTTGTGTTGAACACATTGCTTTCTGCCTGAGATATAATTAGAAAACCAACCGATGGCGTGTTCTGATAAACCAGTATTTTACATATATTTTACCAACTTGTTTAACGTTGTCCCAGAAATCTGCAACAGCGTTCACACCTTTTTATTTTGTACGTTTTTGTACGACTACTTTTAGCTATTTGAACCCATCACGTATCACAATGTTCACTTCGGCTAGGACATTGCGACGACAACGTTTGGTTCTTGTAACGTTTATACATTTTGAAACATTTCACTTTGTTTGAAAAGTTTCCCCCACTGAATTGAATAAAAACTATTCGAGTTATTGTAAAACTTGCAGCTACTTTTTAGCTAATTTTAGCTTTGATTTAGATTTTTTTTAACTTGATCCGTTTAGTTTTGGCTTCTTTAACAAATTACAGCCAATTTTCAGTCATTTAGGACTCACATTCACGCTGCATAGAAAATACCATTCCTAGTTTTTCTTCAAGAAGAAGAAAAGCATAAGAAACTAGTTTTGACATGATGAGTAGCAGCGACTAGCTCTTGAGCAAGTAAAGTAGCACGATAAGTCGGAATTACAGTTTTAGATGTTACACAGCTGTCGGCAAAACTTTTCAGAAAATGTATCGAGGGGCTAGATGAATTTTCCGTTCTGTTTACTCCTAATGTTCCAGAAAGCTCATGACATTGGAATCAGTGGTTCTGTGATAATCTGCAAACTGGACTAAAAATGTGCTTTGGTTGTTTTTAGGGATCGAATCATGCTGCTGAAGTTGGAACAGGACATCTTGGATTTCATCAGCAACAACGAGTAAGATGCTTGTAAACCAATAAAACGTGTCTAATGCAGTCGGACTGGTGGCCTCATTAAATCTGAACAAACGTTGTCAGATGAAATCAGCCTTTAAAAACCATGAGTACTTTAGAAGTTTCAGTTGGTTCTGTTGCACTGCTGCAGTAATCTTTTGGATAAAAGTCGTTTTCAGATGCAAATAGTAGCTTTAGCCTAGAAGACGAACCTAAGTGAGACAGAAACACTGACTTGTCTAAATCTTTGAGCTTCTCCGTCTCATGTGTGTTCCTGTAGAAGCCAAAAGAGGAAGTTCCCCCCCATGACGTCCTACCACAGGATGCTGTTGCACCGAGTTGCAGCCTACTTTGGTCTGGACCACAACGTGGACCCCAGCGGGAAGTCAGTGGTGATCAACAAAACCATCAACACTAGAATGTAAGCTCGAGTATTAAAATTTTATTAATTTCTTTACTCAAATGTTTGACCGAAAGTGTTTTTAACTTTTATTAGACTTTGTTTAGAGGAGTGCTACGCTTCTGTTGCACGGTAGCTCAGCGTTACGTTGGTGCTGGTGGGGTATAATGGAGTGCTACACTTGTATTACATTGCACGCTAGCTTGGCTCTACGCTAGTGCCGGCATTTGTAAATGGGGGGGCGGGGGTGTATAGCGAAGAGTTACGCTCGTATTGCATCGCGCAACAGCTTGGATTGCGAGCTAGCTAAGCGCTACGTTGGGGTGGGGGTGTATAGCGGAGTGCTACACTTGTATTACGCGGTTTAGAGAGTTGAGCAGCTAATCTCCTCTCCCGTCCAGAAGTGGCAGAGCAGAGTGGGGGTTTGGTGGGCGGGGCTCTAAGTTCTGTTGACGGGGCGGGGTGGGGGTTTGGTGGGCGGGGCTCTAGGTTCTGTTGACGGGGCGGGGCTCTAGGTTCTGTTGGCGGGGGGGGGGTTTGGTGGGCGGGGCTGTAGGTTCTGTTGACGGGGCGGGGCGCTGGTTTTGGGGGGGGGGGGGGGGTTTGGGGGGGGGGGGCTGTAGGTTCTGTTGACGGGGCGGGGCGCCCTTCTTGGATAACGGATGGGGACACGCTGGACTCTCTGTTGCAGAGTATCAGAAAAATGTTTAAATGTGGTATTTTTGTTGCTACTTCTGGAGAAAGGGCAATAATGTTGCAGCGTGTTTATATGTCGTGTTAGCAAAATTTCTCGTGAAGCATGGAACAAATTTTAATGAAGCTTTCAGGAAAGTGATCCCTGGATGCAAATCTACAACAGATTGCCTTTGGAGTTGATTTAAGTGAGCACAGAAATTCCTTCAAGTCCAAGATGTTGAGTGTAAATTTGATGTGGTAGTAGCCGAGAGTCGTCCTTTAATCGTTGTGCGATATCGGCCGAGGTCGTGCATGTCGTTATTTTGCAGATTCGATCAAAACGGTATCATTGTTCAGTTTTCTTGCACCTTGAGCTCACCCCGACCGCTCGACACAGACCTCTGTTAACATCTGTTGCTGTCAGCATCTGGAATAATTGAAGCCCCCCCCCCCCCCAACAGACCCGATCAGAAATTCTCGGAGCACATCAAGGATGACCGGATGGACGACTTTCAGAAACGCTACATTCTCAAACGAGACAACTCCAGCTTCGATCACGACGACGGAACGGTAGGATTTAAATTCTGTGTCCATCAAGCCGCCTCTTTTATTCCTGACGCGCTGCTACGAGTGGGACGATCTGGCGTATCTGCTCACACGACTCTGTGTTCGTGTCCTTGCCAGATACGAATGCGTCTGAAAGCTGACAAGAGGAGCAAATCGATGGAGGAGAGGGAGGAGGAGTACCAGCGAGCCAGAGAAAGGATTTTTGCACATGATGTGAGAGCTGCTGGTGTAGGCGGGCTGGGGGCAGGAGGGGGGGGGCATGTTTCGCACGTCTTTGTCGTGTCTATTCATGTGCAAATTCAGTAGATTTCCTGCTGCCAATTACTAACGCTGACTTTATGAATGTGCACGGGGATGCTCTGATTTGGCTTTAAAAGTCAGATCTTCATAGCTGCGTGCAGGATCAAAGACCTGAAGCTGCTTAAATTATATTTTGGACAGCCAAACATAAATAACCGACTTTAATCCTTTTTTCTCCTTCTTTTTTTAACGCAGGGTGATCACTTTATATTCGATAACAGGTGAGTAACGTTATCTAACATGAGCAACTGTTAGCTGAACAATTAGCTAGCGTCATTCCTTAAAGCAGGGGTGTCCAAATGTTTTCATACGTGGGCCAGAACTGTCTAGATGACCGAGGGCCGGAAAAATATGAATTTAAGAGGAAAAAAAAAATATATATATATATATATATATATATATATATAAATATATATATATTTTTAGTGTGATTTTATTTGTTCCCCCTCATTTTTAAACTCAACAACTTATAATTTATATATTTTCGTTCAGCCTTTATTTATACAGGTTGGTCTCATTGAGCCTCGTGGACTCGTTTACAAGAGAGACCTGTTTTTAACAAACACAGAGGAGATGCAGACTAGGCCTGTCACGATTACAAATGTTGCTGGGCGATTGTCTCAGAGATCAGGGATGCTCTGATCTGCATTTTTTATATAGATTGTAAAGAGGGTGGGGCCTAAGACTGAACCTTGTGGTACACCGTTGTTAACAGTTAAATAGCTGGGAGAAGCTCCGTTATTTATTTAAATAATAAAAAAAAATTTGGGGTCTATTATTTGTTTTCTTGTGCTTGGAAAGTTAATTTTTGTTTATTTTCAGAGACAAAAGCCTAAAATGAGTGGCTGTTCTTTAAAAAAGGGAGTGGAGCTTCAGTCACCCGTTTGGACCATGGATGGCCCAAAAGGGTCATCGAAGTTCTGAAAGGCCGTCCATCTGGCAGTCACTAAAACAGATGCATGGAGGGTTTGAAGGGAGACTGATAAAGTTGATCAACGTGTATGCCGATGATACCACTTTATATTCTTTTTAAAAAAAGTCCCAATTTCTCCCCATCGATTTATCAAATCAACTGAAGTTATTTTCTTTGAAAACACTTTGCCCAGTTTTATAAATTATTGTCCAAAATTCTACTTTTTGGTAGAAGTCAGTTTAGGTTTGTTGTGGGATAAAGGGATTCATTATAGCTAAATATATGTATTGTACTTAATATCGCTCATTTTGAAAAAAATATTTTAATCCGTTTTGCTGTTGTACCTAAAAATTGTAAAAGTATCACCATAAAATCTAAAGAAGGTCTACATCTGCATCAACCTGTGGCTAAAAATTATACCATTCTTTAATTGCAGTCGTGGGCCGCACAAAATCACTCCAAGGGCCACAAATGGCCCACGGGCCACACTTTGGACACCCCTGCCTTAAAGTGTTCCCAAAGCTCGTTTTTCCTCGTCTGAGGAGTAATTAGAGGTTGTTTGAAAGCCTCCTCACTTCGTCAGCTCCTGTTCTGTAACGCCTCTCCCTTCCCTTCAGCGCGCAGGAGGAACTCTCGTGCATGAGCACTCAGCAGAGGCGGCAAATGTTCAGGTGGGTCCACCCCGTCACAAATCGTTCAGCTCCCCGCAGAGGGACAGGGAAGACTCGAGTCGTCCTAATCGTCTCGCTCGGGAACCGGAGTGCTGATCTGAGGATTTGCTGTTCTGCGGATCAAGAAAGCTGCTTTAATGGGATTTTTCTGCCTTTTCAGACAAAAGATGGCCAATTCAATCAGGAACAAAAAGCAAAATAAATGCTTTTGATTGGTTATAACACTAAACATTTAGTCCTATAAAGATAACATGCACATCTCATCAATGCTTCTTTTTGTTGTGAAACCAGCTTTACGAAACGCCTAATTTCAATAGATGGTTGAATGTCATTAAAACCATATCAGCTGTCATCACGATGCTTAAATCCACTCCGTTTAAGACTTTAACTTCAAATAACGTCTAATTTAAAGGGTCCATTTGGTCGTTAATGATATAAAATCAAGTTTAGTGATTGTAATCTTTAGCATTTTTGATGTTGCAGTGACGATTCGTGTTTTTATGCATTTAAAGTAGCGAGGGGGCATTTTAAGCCAAAACGTTCCTTGAATTTGTCGATAATTATTAGATTTGTCTTTAAACATTTGGTCTAATCCAGGGATCTGCAATTTGTTTTATCAAAAGAGCCACTCTTACCAAGTGAGATGTGTCCTGCTACAACTGGGATTATCAACTGGTGGTTCGTGGGCCACTTCGAGTTTGTTGACAGAGCTGGTTTCAGTAGTAGGAAAAAAATATTGGTTTATACCAATTTAGATTATTATTTTTTTATTATTAAAACGCTGAACTCTGCTATGCGAGTCCTCCTTTATTTGTGAAAAATAATGAAGTGTCCCACTTTGAAGTAATAAAATGTAAAATTAAAATGCAGTGGTTCCAACCCTGGTCCCTGAGGAACACCGTCCTGCATGTTTTAGTCGTTTCTCTGCTCCAACACACCTGATTCAGTGATTTAATCACACTCAAGTTCTGCAGAAGCCTGTTAATCACCCATTCATTCAAATCAGGTGTGTCAAAGTTGGGAAACAACTAAAACATGCAGGATGGTGTTCCTCAAGGACCAGGGTTGGGAACCCTATTACTTAGTTTTACTTTGACATTGTTTGTCCTTAATTCTTACGGTTATCAAATTGACTCGCCGTGTTTCTTCTGAGCAACACGTCTTGAAGCCACAAGAGTAAGGCTGAGTTTAATCAACATGTAATCGTCTCATTATTCACATATTGCAGAAATTTGGCAGGGGAAACTGCTGAAACTAGTGGGGGGGTTAATAACATTAAATTTCATGATTGCTTTGGTTAGGGGGAGTGGGGGCCCTGAGGCTAAAGAAGACGGGCTGATGATTGGAAGGTTGCCGGTTTAACTCCCCGAACTAAACATTTTTAAAGAATGTGGGTGGGAAAGGTGAAGCACCCACCCACTCTGGGCCCTTGAGCAAGGCACTAAGCCCCCACTATCTGCTTCCCTGGGCGCCCTACAGGGCAGCTCTCTGCTCCACCCAGAGCTGTGGTAGCTCGGTGTCTGTGGTTGCGGCAGGAAGGGCATCCGGCGTAAAAATAACTTGGTTCATGTGTCGACCCCTGAGGAAGGGAGCAGCCGAAATAATAAGAAAAATAAAAAGAATGTTTTGGTCAAAGCTTCAAAGAGCCACATGTTCCCCCCCAGAGCTGCAAGTCCGAGACCTCTGGTGTAAAAGATCAGCCCTGAGCTGAGCTCCCCAATGACCACAGATCCCAGTTTCCTTTCTTTCAAAACAAACTACAGAAACTGGGACGCTCAGTTATTTCCTTTCCCAGTTTTTTTGGGAGGTAGCTGGATGGTAGGTGCACGCCGACTTCAAATGAACCTTCACTCAACATGTTGGCGTGTCGCTACCAGACCCTGGGGTTAACGAACCCAATCCTGTTGGCTGCGTTGAGCCTTCGAGTTCACCCATTTTATCTTCAACAATCGATGCTCATCTCCCAAAATCTGATTCTAGCTTCACAAATGTAGTTCCTCTAAATTAATGCATTTTAATTTTACATTCTGTAATACAAAGACTACGAATGTGGTGAACATGATAACGTTCAGCTAATTACCAAAATACTTGTTGTGCAGTTACTCAGCAGTTTATTGCCATTTTCCAGGTTCCTGTGCAGTCCGATAAGATAAAATCACAGTTTTAGCCTTAAACTTGAACTCAGACCTCTCGGATGACTGATTCCTTGACTTGTCAGGTTACGAGCCGGCCACTCTGGAGCCAGCCACCAGAGCAGCTCCGAGACGGAAATCCTGCCACGCCACGGCGAGCCTCGGCCGTGGAGCAGCACCGACAGTTCGGACAGCTCCAACCGGCTCGCCCCGCGGCCCGCCATCACCAAGGCCAGGAGCTTCAGCGGCATCTCCCCCAGCCTGGTCCGCGGGGACAGCACAGCCAGCAGCAAGAGCACCGGGAGACTCTCGAAAACAGGCAAGAGCGACGACGCGTAGCGCTGAGACGTCCACGGGGTGGTGTTCGGTCCATGCAGGAGACGGTGGTCTTGAAGTCAGGGATGCACGATATTATCGTCATGGTATCGGTCGATATCCGTGTTAAAATTCAATATCGTGCATCCCTACTTAAAATCATAGGAAATAGAAATAAACTGGTGAACAGCGATGGGATTATTTGTCGGTTTTTGTGACTGAGCACGAGGAAGAAAAGCTCAGATCGTAGTTTCAGCTTCAGTCAGGAACCTTCAGGCGACCATCAGAACAGCGGTCCGATGCTGTGGGTGGTGTCGCGGAGCTGGACAGCCGTCAGAAGTCCTTGCAGAGCAGCCGCCCGCTGACGGAGGCGGGCTCAGGGAAAGTGTTGTCGCAGCAGAAGAGTGAAAGCAAAGCGTGAGGAGTTTGTGCGTAATGTTTAAGCATGAGCAGCGAGCCGCGAGTGCTTACTGCACAATATGATGCATTTGTGACCGGATGGGCTGAGATTGGATCCTCCGCGCGGTGGGTTCGGTTTATTTATCGCCGCAGAACAAAAGGTAGAATCTTGACTCCTGCAATTATTTCTGTCCACGTTTGCTTTTTCTCATATTTGCTGAAAAACGTTCTCTTAAGATAAAATAAAAAGCGCATGAGGTTGTTTATGAGACTTCATTGTTCGTTCTGTTCAGGTTCAGAGTCGTGCAGCAGTGTCGGCTCCTCGTCCAGCTCGCTGTCCCGCCCTCAGCTGCCTCTCCGATGCAGCACCCCCTCCGTCCATCACGCCGCCAACGCCAAAGGACCCCCCGACGGGGCCAAGAGCGTCCCTTCGCAGCTGCCGGCATCCAGCGCCGCGAACTATTACGTGCTGCCGCTAGAGGTCTCAGGGATTCCACCTGGCAGCGTTCTGATCAGTCCACACACAGGTGGGTGGAACCAGACGTGGCTGAAGAGCCGTCGGCCATCTTGAGTCGACCGAACCAACTTTCCTCATTAGATCAAAGTCGGTTTGTTTCCCAAGTGTCTGTTTTCTTGATGAAAATTCATGAGTGGGGCAGAGAAGTAGCCAGGCTGGAGTGAACAGACGGGAGAGGCCTCTCGGGCCTCGTGCACACTCGTGAAGTTTCAAACCGTAAAACGATCGAGGAGCTGCCAGCGTTGACTTTCTCACAAGGACCAGACCTTTGTTACACGTATTTTGGTGAAGTCTCCGTGTGTGTCTGAACTTTCTCTGGTCTGGGCCGTAACTTCTGATCCGCTCAGGACGATTTAATAAAACCTCTTACACGTATGTGTCATCACTAGACGGAGTGTTGTGTAATCTTTGCATCGCTCCAAGGTCAAGGTCAAATGTTAGACGGAGTCTTTGCTTGTCCGTTCCATTGCTATAGATTGCTGAATGTGCCTCGTGTGGTCCTCTTCTCTTCAAAGTTCATGTCATTACCGACAGGTAAGCCTTTCGTGCATCCCGACGGCGGCGCCGTTGTTTATGACCCGGCTGCCAGCAGAGTCCCACAGGACGGGAAGACGCCGCCGCAGCAACATGCAGCCGGTCACCTTCACTCCCAGGTCAGTGGACACTGGTTTTCAAAAACCCTACAAATTAGAACGTTTTCTTTGTTTTACTAACTCCAACTTTTAAATAAAACCTGTGAATCTAAGTGAACTTCTGTCCTGTTTCACACTGTCCATCTTCTGTCCTTCTCAGCCAGTCTGTCCTCCTCTTCAGCCGTCCTCTGAGCCCGTCCACCTCCCGACGGTTCCCTATCCTCCTCCTCACTTCCTGCCCGTCTATCCTCCTAACCAACAGTGCACTGTGGTACTCAACCTCCTCCTTCCATTTTAGTCTTCCTCCTTCGTTTGTGGTGGTATTCCTGTTTGTCCATGACGTTCACTGCTTGGCCCGCGGGTCCTCACCGTGTCCATGTTCCGTATATGCAGCGTACTTGGAATAGTTCAAACTTTGCTACTCAAGAAATACTGTAATTAGTTTTCACGTGTAAATTCAGCCCCGTTTGAGTTTAAACATCTGAGGACTCACGTGGTCACAATGACTAAATTGAGGCTCGTGAGTCAACCCACATCTTCCTCTTCCTCGTCTCGTCGGTCGTCACGACTCAAAGGTTTCCATTCGGTTCAGCTCCTCCTTCACCGTCATCCAGTCCCTTTGGTTTCAGCTCAGACTCGATGGTACTGGCTGTTCACATGATAAAGGACGCCCTTCAGCCTGACGGTGGATCGTTAGTGCCCTTCAGCCTGACGGTGGATCGTTAGTGCCCTGGTGGCTGCGTGCTCCTCGCAGAGGGCGGAGTGATACTAGAGGGACACATGACGACTCTCTAACGTATTTTCCAGAGTCGCACTTTTTGTCATAGTTCGGTCAGTCCTGTGACGTTTGATCCGAAGCGACTTATTTATAGGGGGGGGGGGGTCCATATTCATGAGATGTTTTTTGACCGACACGTTAAACGTTCGTTCGGGACGACGTGAACCAGAGTAAACATTTTCAGTGATGTGAGGTCGGTGACTTGCTTGGACTCGTCGGCTTGTTGCGTTAAGTAAACCTGTTCAGGGTCCCAGGTACGTCCTGTGCATTATTATTTCAGACTACATGTCTGTTCTTGCACTTTGTGAAATAAATAAATCTACATAAATGCCACTTGTAGTCCAGAACACGTGGTACCTTAAAGGAATAA